TTTTTCACCCTCCTCCACCCAAATTCGGATAATTTCTTCGCAGGTCCCAGCTCTAGGACTGACCGTTTTGCTCGCCTTGCATCACACTCAGCTGCACCTTCCGCACGGCTGAGTTCAGTTACAACCCTAAAGACTTCGAAGTCTGTTTTCAAACCCCGAAAGCCTGTCTACTTGGCGACCTTCAATGTTCGCACACTGAAGCAAGCAGGTCAACAGGTGGCTCTTGAGCGTATGCTGGATTCCCTCTGTATTGATGTATGTTATGTCAGAAACAAAGACGCAGGACGCAAGTACTGTGGTCGAACTGACTGCCCCCTCGCTTTCTTTCAGGTCCCAGATGCACACCTCTGGTGATGAAGAGGTCGTTGCAGCTGGATATGCTGAGGTGGGTACTGTATTGAGCGAACGAGCGAAAGCGTCTCTACTTGACTGGATATCCGTTGAAAGTCGCCTCTGTGCGGCTCGTTTAGCAACATCTGTAAGAGAATCTAGAGAAAGTGAAGTTCATCGCACCTTTTTTACTGTCTGCTTAGGCCCCAACTGGCTGTAGCTCTGAATATGCCAAAGACAGTTTCTATGACGCTCTAGGTGCCCTTCTACAGCAGGCTAAGCTCATATATCGTTGTGGTTGCTGCTGACATGAACGCCCAGGTAGGTAGACTAAGCGCTGCTGAAGCCCGATTGGGTGGTCGTCTTGTTTTGGACACGAGACACACGGACAACGGAGACCGCTTACTTCAGATGTGTGCCGATCAAAGACTGTTCCTTTGCAGTACGAATTTCCGGAACAGTGGATATCACTTGACAACGTGGTGCCCACCATCAAACGAGCGCCGAATCCAAATAGACCACATTGCCGTCAGTTATCGGTGGCGAGGGTCGATCACCGCCTGCCGCTCCTTCTGGAACACCAGCGTGGACTCCGACCATGCACTTGTACGCTGCTGCTTTTCATTGCGCTTTTCAGGTGTACGCAAATCGCGCACACCTCGCTTAGCCATTGAGAAGCTAGTTGATCCAGAAACCAAACGAAACTATCAGAAACAGCTCCTCGAATGCCTGCCGGACGGTACGGTGTCGGATATAAACGGCCACTGGGAAAAAATATCCAACGCGTTGCTCAAAGCAGGAGCGTCTGCTTGCGGTACAACCCAGCCAACCTCATCCAAGCATTGGATCTCTGATAGAACCGTGTCTTTGCTGGAGACCCGGCGACAAATCCCACCTGGTCGCTACCACAACTCTACCCGGGGCATCATCCGACGCCAGGTGAAACTGAGTGTCCGCGCAGACCGAGAAGCTTGGTAGACCCGAAAGATCGAAGAAATGGAAGATGCGCAAATTGTTCCACTTGATTCGTTCGATTGGTCCTCGGAAACCTCTTGTCAGCGAAATACTCAGGGACAAAAATGGCTCCCTGATATGCAGCAAAGCAGAACGTTTGGATCGCTGGGCACAGTACTTCGAACAGCAATTCAGCTGGCCACCTGCTAGCCCCAATCCAGAAACCCGGGATTCAACAGAAAGGTGGACCGTAAATATGAAGTCTCAGAAGTGTCCGAATGTATTTCTCTACTCAAGCGTCATCGTGCTGCTGGTCCTGACGACCTTCCACCTGCTTTTTTCAAGGGTGGTGGTGGATTCCTCGACCAGTGCCTGTCTAGCTTTTTGAGTATATCTGGGGGGGGGAGGCCATCCCAGACAACTGGGGCGAATCGATAAAGGTGTCCGTTTTTAAAAGGGGTACTTGGAGTGAATGTAGTAACCACAGAGGTGCTAGTTTGACGCCTGTTGTGACAAGGCTTTTGGCGAAACTGATTCTTCGCTGTCTTACGGTGGCACGTGAAACCTTGACTCGTGAGAATCAAGCGGGATTTCGACCGGTTAGAGGCTGCGTTGACCACATTTTCACACTCCGTCACGTGTTAGAGCAACGCCACATGTACAGACGACCCACAATCTTGGTATTCCCTGACTTCAATGGATGCGTCTGATTTTATGGATCGGTCAGTGCTGTTAACTGCACTTACTGAACAGGGTATGCCCCAGAAGTTTGTAAACATAATCCAGTCTCTATATTCAGATACTTCTGGGTGGGTGAGAGTGTATGGTGAGATCTCAAAAAGCTTCCCTACAAAAAGTGGTGTCAGACAAGGATGTCCACTCTCTCCATTCTTGTTCAACTTCGTAATTGATGGAATAATGAGGCGAAAACTGGACGGTCTTCAAAACCCCGGTGTTCAAGTTGTTGCTGGTGAGAGCCTTGTCGATCTGGAGTACGCAGATGACATTTTCCTCATCTTTGAAGACCAAAGCGAAGCACAAGCTCTATTGAATAAACTGCCCACCATCATTTCATCTTTTGGCATGCGCCTCGCACGTTCAAAGTGCAAAGTCATGCTTCAGAACGTGCGAGATGGCTCAAGTGGTTAGAGCGCGAAATTACTGACCGGAAGGTCTGTGGTTTGAGCCCGACCTTCGCCTCTCGACTTCCCCTGTCTAGGCTTGGACAACCTGGCAGTATCCAAGCCCTCGTGCTTCCTTCGCGTGGCATGGCAGCTAGGCACCGAAAGGGTGTTACAGCTGACCGACTGGGTTATATCCCTTACAATTCAAGGAGAATCACTGGAGACTGAGGAAAACTTTACATACCTCAGTAGTTGTATTAGCTCTGACGGAGGTGTGTTTGATAAACTCAGTGCAAGAATCTCAAAGGCTCGAATCACGTTTGCTAATTTGTATCACTTGTGGCGCCAAAAAGGCATCTCACTGAATCATAAGGGTCGTGTGTACTAGGCTACAGTAGGAGCTGTGTTGTTGCATGGGTGCAAGACATGGTCTCTGCAGGTAGATGATGTGAGGCCTTTTCAGGTTTACGACCGCCGATGCCTCAGAAGCATGGCTGGTTATGGATGGCGTCAGCGGGTATTTGTTTGTGCTGCAGGCGTGTCACTCCGAGGAAACACCCAGCATCATCGACTACGATGATCGGGCATCATGCCGAAACACCGTCCACCGAGACGAGTGTTGTTCTCCATGCCTCCTTCAGGATGGCACGGATGATGATGATGACTCTGAAGCTCAGTCTTCCTGTTGATGTGGTTCCTCGGTGAATATAAGCGGCATCACAAATTTTATAGACTATGCGTATCCATTGTGTATGGACACTGTCCAGCACCATAGTGCATGCTCCGAATGTTTTGAGGATGGCGTAGAAGGGGATTGTCGCTTATCCGGGTAGTCAGGAAAGGTGGCTGTACTCCCTATCAGGACTGGTTCTCAAACTAGTTGTCAGGTGGAGTCTAAGCTATGATCCCACGAAGGTTCGACCTGACCCCTTTTGGCTCTGGGCTTTTGCTCCTTTGAAAGAGCGTTAACCACATACGCATGAGGTTTAGGATGTGTTGAACCTGGGGAGCCATTGTTTGTGCACCAAGTTGACTGGTGCGTCTTGGTGACACGCAATTGATTGTAGTTAGCACACTTAATAATCCCGTCATTATTCTTAAAGACAGAGCCTCCCAAAATATGGCACGCTGAGGTATTGCACAATGCGGTGGGAACAAGTCAGTCACCAGCAACTATAAGCACGTCGTGCCTGAGTGGTCGGTTAACAGCTGGTTGGAGTGTGTGTTCCTCAGAGCCAACTGTCAAGGCGTATACGGATACGATGATGCCGATGGTGACGTTCTTGGACCTTGTCAGTAAAATTCTCGAGTTAATCGGTACAGATGACAATGGCACATTTCGAACCAGATTACTGAGCACAAAGATCGTATCACATTGACGAGAATCATCTGGTGGACCAAGAGGATAAAGCGAAAAGGAGCTATCTGCCTCAGGAACTTGAAGTCGACGAGTTGTGCCTAGGTATCCATATTGACATATGGTCGTGAAGGACG